CGCTTTTACTGCCGGAAGCCAAGTGGACTGCATATATACTGATTTCTTGAAAGCTTTCGATACAGTCTCCCACAAAATACTAATTCATAAACTTGCTTGTCTTGGGTTCCACTCAATCTTCCTGCAATGGCTTAAATCCTATTTATGCAAAAGGCGGTGCATAGTCACCATTGATAATGTGTCGTCTGATGCTTTTACTGCCACTTCAGGAGTTCCTCAGGGGAGCATTCTTGGTCCTCTACTGTTTACTTTGTTTATCAATTACATTACTTCGTGTTTTTCTCATGCCAGTTCTTTGCTATATGCCGACGACATGAAGATCTACTCAGTGGTAAATAACAGTCTGGATATGCTGAAACTTCAATCGGATATTGAGAATCTTTACTCATGGTGTATTAGATCGCATCTTTGCTTAAATATAAATAAATGTTTTCATGTTAGTTATTCGAAATTGTGCTCCAAATTTGAAAGTTCATACAGAATATCTAACTGTGTTTTACGCAGTGTTAATGAGATTAAGGACCTTGGGGTTATATTCGACTCTAAATTTACTTTTAATAATCATGTTAATTTCATTATTTCGAAATCTTATGCTATGCTTGGTTTCGTTCGGCGGAACTGTGCTGAATTTTCTGATCCTTATACGTGGAAATTGCTCCACACCTCATTTGTGCGTTCACATCTTGATTATGCTGCAATAATTTGGCGGCCTTTTCATCAGTTTAACATTGACAGGATTGAACGCGTTCAAAAGGTTTTCCTTAAATATGCTTTGCGATCTTTTCATTTCACTGATCCCGTCCCGTCATACAATTCTCGATTGCTTCTTTTAAATTTAAATTCTCTGGAAAGCAGGAGGTCTGTCCTCTCTTTGACTTTTGTTCTTAGCATTATCCAGGGTGTTCTTGACTGTCCGGTCTTTTGAGAGAAAATCAATTTTAATGTTCCGAGAAGGGAACTGCGTAGTTACTATCCGTTTTATGGCAATAATAATAGAACTATCTATGCCCGTAATGCACCTCTTACCCGTGCCTTAATCGAACTTAACCAGATCTCAACTTTTATCGAGCTTGATTTTTCTTTACAAAGAAATATTTTTGTCAATCTTTTGAACTCATTTTTTAAATACTGTTATATTTTTACTCTTGTAGGCTAAGAATTATTGTTCATAGGCTACACAATAAATAAATAAAAGTGTAGGTATGCATAGTACCGTTTCATCCCTATGCGTGACATTTTGGTTTGACGTTTCGCTCATTGATATCAAATGCAAACGCACGCAAGCCAATTTCGGGTGACGCAAAAAAACAAATTCGACGGCGTGCGTACCAAAACGCAAGCCGCGAATATTAGGTTAGCCTGTAAGTTTTGCATAATCCAGCTTTTATAAGGCAAAGAAGACATTCTCTGCCCTGTAAAGCTTTGTCAGGGGAGATAGTTACCCTGAAAATCAGATGGTTGTTTAAAACGACAATATTATAAAATGCGTCTGCTAGACAAGGACAAGAAGCCAAAAACACGAAAATATACTATTCCTAACGCTAAATAACTGATCTACTGAATGGTAGCCATGAAAACTCCCTCCACAGCTCTCCCTTTGACATATGTCTACCTGAAAACAGTCAATGTTGTAATAGTTTTTTCTCTCTACGGCTTCAGTCGTTCTAGTATAGCTGGAGAATCATCGATGCATCTATGTGTTTATATGAGCCGCTAACATCGATGTTTTTTTTCTCAAAATCGATGTTTTTGCAAATTGCAAACCTACAGTTATTTGCGCTTAAAAAGTAAAATAATTATTCATAAGTCAGCAAAGGTACGTTTTTACATGATTCAATAATTAAAGGTTTACTCACTAGTGACATTAGTTTTGACACTCCTTTAAAAAGGTTACACACATACCCACAGGTTATCTCAGCAGTATGCATCTTTTGGCAATCAGCTGATAGAGTTTTTACTGAGGAAACTGTACGATGCCTTTTATTATTGAATCATTCCTCATTTATACATAAGTAATTTTTGATATCGAGCCCTTGAAAAGACAAAAGGATTAAACATAATTTGTTATATTCAAATTAATTACCCTTGGGTCAAAACAAATTTTAATAATTTTTAAGACTTTAAAAAACTGTCTCATTTATACATAAGTAGTTTTTGACCTCAAGCCCTTGAAGGGACAACAACATTATGATTTATTATTTCCATGCTAAATGTAGAAAAAACTAAACTCTATATTTTTATAGGCGTTTGAAGTGAAAGGTTAGATAGCCTAATTCTCAAGTTTTGAAAAATATCGATGTTGGCAAACATCGATGTTTCTCCACCTCTACGTTCTACTTGTTTCTTCAGTAATTGTGTTTTAGTGAAGATCTATGCCGAGAAAAAAACTTTTGATCAAGGAAGTAGAAGGTAATTTCTATCATTTAAGACTAAATTTAAGTAAATTGCTTTTAGGTTAGGTTAGGTTGAGATGGCTATGGAGAGTGAATCCCCATTACACTTAGGCCAACTAAAGGCCCATTGTGATACCATATGCAATCTTTGTTCCCCTATGATGTTGCGGCGCTTACTTGGGATCAAACCAATTCGTTAACGTGACGAATTTCAATAGTGCTCTTATATTGATTTCCGATACCTCTGCAAGGCCTTGTAGTAGGCATGGGTAACGCAGCGTTGCGTTGCGTTATTGCGCTGACACTCAGTGTTGCGCTACCTGCGTTAACGCACTGTCAATACCGCAGTAACTCAAAACGTAATCATATTAATCGCAACGTAGCAGCGCAGCGCTATGAGATCACAGAAGAGTTGATTTTTCTTTTTTCATTCGCTTCGGTGGTACTGAGTGCCAAAATGATGTGTTTGTTGTACATTTCTTTTACTTCTTACTTTCATTATGCGCATAATTTGTTAGTGTAATTTTTTTCTTGTGCTCCTGCTATAAGACATATTTATAAGAAAATAATGTGAATTTATTTGTATGAATGTAAGTAGTCCTCATATTTGATATAAATGTAAATATATTTTGTTCATCCATAAATGAAACAATCTAAATCATTTCATATTCATCAAGGTATTTTGTATTTATTCATTACATTTATTATATTAAAAATGTCAGCTTTATATTTACATATTTTAAGGTACATTACATAAATTAAGTCTTTGAGTTTCTTGTTTTTAGGTATGGCATATATATCTAGGTATATCTAAAGAAAAAAATATATATCACTAAATATACATCCGCGTATGTACATCTACATTTCATAAGCGATATATAAATATATAGTCTATCAAAGGCAGTTTCGATATATTAAATATATTTGTTACATGTGTACTGCTTTTAACGGGCGCATTCCCTAATTAAATATAATTATAAAAATTCATTTACGAAAACGTGTGCAATGACAAGACGATTTCGGTGTTTTAAGTAAATAATATAATATACGAAAAATGAATTAATTCTAGCAGGAAAATTAAGTACATCTTACAGAAAAGATTAAACATCAGTTCATTTTAAATTGTAGTTCAAAAATACGACTTGTGATATTTTTGAAGCATCTAAATTTTCTCGCTTTTCTGTCACTATTTGTCCGGCATGGGAAGAAATGCGTTCGCATGGAACGGATGTCGCCGAAATGCATAACCTCCTTTTAACTAACTGGTATAATTTAGGATAGATATGTTTACGTTGATTCCACCAACTGAGAGGATCTTGTGGTTTGCCTTGGCTGTCTTCTCTTGGCAGAATCGGTTCAGCCAAATATTTATCTAATTCTATTATGGCACTTGCTAATTGGCTTTGTGGCCGTGTAAATTGTTGAAATTGATTGTCAAAATCCTTCCAAACTAAATCAAATTTTTCTTCAACATTGCTACATTGAACCTACTGACTTTCATTTGCCTCAACAATTTCAATCTCCTGGTTTGCAATGGTAATGTTTGCTACTTTTGAATACAATTTGTCTACAGCACTTTTGTAAGAGAGTTCATTTATGAAGCCAAATTTTTTTAAACGAGGATCTAAAATTGTTGCCTGTGTTATTAGCTCATTTGTTTCAATATCCTTAAATCTATCATTTAGTTCATGAACTAGCTTCTGGACCATCTTTTGTACTGAGCAAGCCAGTTCTTTAATGGCAAAAGATTGCAAATGTTTTTTTAGCTGTTTTACATAAAGCATTATAGAAGAAGCGCTAACATGTTTCTCCTGACTTACTAAGGTAGTGATGCATTTAAAAATTTCCATTACCTTTACAACTTCCGCTACAATCAGCCACTCTTCGTTATTTAAAGGAGCAATACCCTTCACAAATTCGTCTCTGACCTGCATAGACGACTTCACTAAAGCTAAGGTTGCAATCACAGCATCTTTAAGTTTTAAAAATCGCTCCAACATTTCGTACGTTGAATTCCACCGCGTAACAACATCATTTATTAACTTTAACATGGGAATCTGCATGCTTTCTGATGTATTTTTGAGCTTGGCGTATGCATAGGAGCTTTTTTTAAAAAAACGAACTATAGATTTAACCTTATCTAATACCGCCTGAATTTCTGTTAAACCTGCCTGTGCAATCAAATTTAAAGTGTGTGCGAAACAGCCCCAATGCCGCCAACCACCATCACGTACTGCAGCCTTCATATTTGCGGCGTTATCGGTCACTATAACCGCAATTTTATTTGCTATTCCGCACTCGTCACATATCTCACGCAGCTTATTTTTGATGTTTTCTCCTGTATGACGGTCAGCATATGAAACACAGGTAATCAGATCTGATGCCAAAAAAGTTCGCTCGCTGCTTTCCGATATATAGTGCGCAGTAACGCTAAAGAAGCTATCGTGTGCTCGGGAGGTCCATCCATCAACTGTTAAACATATTGCAAAGGCCTTACTTAGACGATTTTTGACCGCTTCCAATGTTTCCTTGTAGGCCGCTGGAATGAGTGATGTGGACAGTGTTTTCCTTGTAGGAAGCTTGTAGTTCGGATTTAACATATTAATAAATCTTTTGAACTCCGGATCCTCCACAATACACAAAGGCTGATATTCTTTCACCACCATTTTTACCAACTGGTTGTCGATATTGCGCTGTTTTGTCATTGGAAGTGGCCTCTCGAAGTACTGACTAATTGTCCCAGCTCGTGAGGAGGTATTTGAAGGCCTCGCATCATGTACCGATTCTCGCGCTCCAGGTTGTGACGCAGAATAGTTGTTTTCATCAGATACGTTGCTCACTGATATCTCACATTCTTGTAACCCCTGCCTTGTAATTATTTGCGTCGGATGTCTTTTGTTTAAATGGCGAATAAGTCCACATGTCGACCCGTTGGAAACCGATAACACTTGGCCGCAAAAAAGGCATTTCACTTTCTTCTCTTTTTCTTCAGAGAAATGAAGCCATACAGTGCTTTTCTTTTTAGACATATCACGAGCTTTTTTAAACACGTTAACAATATATGTATGTACAATACCTTTACTTCAATTGATATTTTTTTTAATTAGCACCTACATTTGTGCACTAATACGCTGAATCAGTGTGAATTAATATGTATGTATGTGTTTGTAAGGCGCCAGGCAAAAGATAACGTTCGGATGAAGCAGCTCCTGTGGAAAGCACAGAATTAGAATTTTACTTCAAAATAGTTAAATAATTATGTAACTTACTTCCAAAAGGAGCCCAATTACGCAGAATCACCTTTGTGACTGAATATGTATGTGTGTTGTAAGGCACTCGGCAAAAGATAACAACGTTCGGATGAAGCAACTCCTGTGGATAGCGCAGAATTAGAATTTTATTTCAAAATTAGTTAAAGAATTAAGTTACTTACTTCCAAAAGAGCACGGTTACACAGACTCAACGTATTGAATGAAAATCTTCTTGAAAAACGTTCGCGGAAAACACAATTGAAAATGCGCCAATATACCCACAAAAATTAGCGACGCACAATTCGGCAATGCAATATCGATACTCGATACATTATGTCGTGGCGCAATTGCGTTAACTCAATGCGTTAGAGCATTATAGTGCGTTTTCGCCAATGTATCAACGCATGAAAAATTGCGTCATTACCCACCCCTACCTTGTAGAGAGGGCTTTCCGAACGTCTGTAGCCGTCTTCTGCTGAGTGCCGGGCGCTCGCATATAAGGTGCTGTACACTCTCTTCCTCTTCTTCGCATCTGCAGCTGCGACAGTAATCTGGCGCGCTCACTCCCAATCTCGAAGCATGTGTGCCGATTAGACATTGACCTGTAAGAATTCTTGTAAGAATAGATACCTCGGTGCGTTTTAACAGGAGGAGAGGTTTCTCCAGCGTTCGTTTGCTGCTTGTACGGAGCCATTTCTGGCTTGTAGTTTTAAAGTGGCCATTGGTATACCTACCATGTCCTTCCCTGGAAGGATGGGGCTGGTCGTACCATTCCTCTCCAGTTCGTCAGCTTTTGAGTTGCCCTCAATATCTCGGTGTCCAGGCACCCATATGAGTTGTATTCTATAATGCTGAGCCATCTCGTTTAGAGATCTGCGGCATTCAGTGAGAGACTTTGTGTTGTCTACGCATGAGTCTAGAGCTTTCAGGGCTGCTTGACTGTCAGAGAAGATAAAGACCTGTCTTTCCTCCTTGGGTATTCTTGCTAGATACCGAGTGACCTCCTAGATAGCCAGCACATCCGCCTGGTATACACTTCAATGGTCCGGAAGGCGAAAAAATGTTTCGAGTTCCAGCTACGGAGAGAAGACTCCTCCCCCGACCTTTCCGTCGAGTTTGGAGCCATCAGT